AATAGCATTTGTACCAAATCATCCTAAAAATCTGAAAACTCAGTTACACTAAATTTCATAAGTAATTAAATGCAAAAATGATTTAATAATGAATGGAGGAGGCATGGGGGATTGTTGAGTCTAAGTATTGCAAACGTAGTAAAACAAATAATTGTAATAACCGTAGCGTCTTTGGATTAGAACTTATGGTATCATATTAACTAGTACTGGATTTACTATATCAGATTCAATTCTGATTGTAAATTGTTATCAATGAAAGCCTCACTTCCTTAATCCATCTTTGCCTTCAGTCTTTAAAAAAGTTATGTTTTAGTTCTCGTTTCATCAATAGATGGCGCCAGTAGCTCAACTCATGTTCAGCCATTCTTATCTTATCTAATCACTATATCTTATCTCGTTCGTTTGCGCTTTGGCAGCTGAGGCCGATGGTTCGGTAAAACCATAGTAAGTGTTTTATTTTTTATTGAGTACTGTACATTGTATAGGTATCAAATAGGTATTTAACTCTATATGTTACGTGTTGTATGCGTATATTGCGAATTGCAGGTACTTAGTACATTGTATGTGTTCTGCCTTTTAACTGCATATTGTTAACTAGAAGCTCGTATTGAAGGTACATTACAACGGTACGTGCGTATATAGTAGACGTACTGTACTCTTTTGAAGTTTATTGTATTTATTGTATACTGTATGCATTACATGCAGTGAAACACATAGCTTTTGGCAAAAATTTATTGGTATCATCCTAAAAATCTGAAAACTCAGTTACACTAAATTTCATAAGTAATTAAATGCAAAAATGATTTAATAATGACTGGAGGAGGCATGGGGGATTGTTGAGTCTAAGTATTGCAAACGTAGTAAAACAAATAATTGTAATAACCGTAGCGTCTATGGATTAGAACTTATGGTATCATATTAACTAGTACTGGATTTACTATATCAGATTCAATTCTGATTGTAAATTGTTATCAATGAAAGCCTCACCTCCTTAATCCATCTTTGCCTTCAGTCTTTAAAAAAGTTATGTTTTAGTTCTCGTTTCATCAATAGATGGCGCCAGTAGCTCAACTCATGTTCAGCCATTCTTATCTTATCTAATCACTATATCTTATCTCGTTCGTTTGCGCTTTGGCAGCTGAGGCCGATGGTTCGGTAAAACCATCGAAACTAGTCCTGTGAAAATTTGCAAATATAACGCTGATTTGTGTTGTTTGACATCTAAATTAACCTCACCTTCCTTTTACTTCGATTTAATTTAAAAGAGTTACAACTGCTAAAATGAATTAGTCGATGCATTGTATGCAAGATGTCTTAGTTTCTCTCTCTAACTGCGCAGCAAATGACCACTGATTAAGCATATTCATCTGTCGACTCTGCTCTCTTTGGCGGTGGAGGCTGTTGGATAATAGATTTTTCACAGAGCAAACATTATTCCGTTCGGTTTAGCCTTAGTCAAAAGCCTTCTCGGTGGCGTTACGGGGTACTGTTCTCTCAAAATTGGGGTATGAGCTAAAGTTGAGCTGTCACCTATATGGTGCTCAAGGCTCTTGCCAACGACAGGCGCGTTTGACCAGCACCTCCTAGGTGAGCTAAGTTCTAGGGGGGGTTGATTTGACTCCTTGCCACAGAATGTATGGAGATAAGAATGAACTTATTTTTTACCTCCATGACGGAATGTCGGGGACTTGTGCTGATCTCCATCAGACAAACAAGAGATTGGTAAAACGACTCAAGCTAAGAACGTGTCAACCACCTTAACTTCGTGAAATCTTCTACGTTCCTGGAACGAAATGCATACTATAGCTAACGAAGACGAAAAATTGTCAAATGGCACTTGACAGTGTTCTCTAACATATTTTACCTTAATGAATAAAGACCTCCTGTAAAACCTATATTCATTAAACTAAATATCTGCTTTAGTCTTGCTCTACTTATATTTTCTCCAATTGAAGGTTTTTGTAAAGAGTTGTAAAGTTTTATCTTTATTTGACTAGTTATCTTATTAGTTTGCCTTTATTCCCCCTTCCACTTTTGTCAGTTCCCTCCAGTATGCAAATTAGTTAATGTATTTAAACATAAAGTTTTTGAGTTCGAGAGAGAGCTATTACCTTGAGCTTTATAGCATCTATACCGACCGTCTTGTTACTATTTCTCCTGACATTTGAATTACTTGAATCTGCTTTAACTTTGTTAGTAGCTATTGCTTGCGAAAGTGTATAAGGTTTATAATAACTTTTGGTATATAAATAATTATTACTTTTGGATATATTCTTTCGTATTTCTTATGGTAACTCTGATGATCTGCTGCTCAACGAGGATAGTGGTTAGTGAATTTGACTGCGTACTGAAAGACCCGGGTTCGAATCCCGGAGAAGGCATGAATTTTAAAAATGTATAGCAGTTTATCTTTTAAAATTGCTGGTCACAAGTGTTATTCAATAATTTGTTTGTTAACACACCTGAAGTTTCTAAATGCTGTAATTTGCGATCTCTCGTAAAGCAGAGAATTATTCATACATTTTGGTGACAATGCAAGCAAAGACTCTTGTATATTTGCATGTTTGTTATCTATCTTTCAAGACACTCTTTTGTAGTAATGTTTTATATAACATGTTTTAATTCAACAAAATATTGATCACTTATACCTTGTTCTTATTTTATTACAAATATCTGATGTGGACTCCACATGTCTTCATTGTACGGTTAATTAAATTGTGCACATTTTTCGGTGCATTTAAATAAAACTTTTTTCCTCGAATTTCGTCAGAGATATAGTTCTCATTCAATCAATTCAGTTCTCACTTCGCAGCAAGGCAAAAATACGTAAAACATCTTCATTAAAAATTGTGCAATACAGGGAAACGTAAAATACCAAATAGAGTTAAAAAAAAGTTAAAGAAAAACAACTTTTGCAATTAAAATTAGTTTCTACTGAAAAACAAGGAAGGCAAAATTTTTCGGTGCACAAAATTGAAAGTAAACTTTTGGTCCCACTGGGCAAAAAGACATCAGAGTTCGGTGTACCAATTGACTTAATTCACTACTCTACTAAGAGTTTCAAATGTAAACTTATGGTCGCTTCGTTAGGCCTAGCCCCACATAAACTTCTAAATTGTTGATAATTCTACAACTACTGCATGCAGATTAATTAAAGGCATAAAACCCTTAACCGGAATATAAGAACAACATAGCTCAATCACTTTCAAAGCAAAAAATGCCCAATTTGCTACATATAAGAAGCAAAAGCTGAGCTCCCCAAGCCAAGTAACAGAGTGGGAATATATAAATATACGAGGGCTATCCAGAAAGTAGATTACGTTTTGGAATAAAAAAATAAACAAAGTATAGGAAACAAATTTTATTATATACAGATGAAAGCCACACTCAAATACTACTTTTCTACATAGTCACCATACAAATTAAGGCATTTATCGTAGCGATGTACGAGCTTGGAAATTCCTTCGTCGAAAAATTCGGCCGCCTGCGCCTTCAACCACTTCGTTACCTCTTCTTGCAGCTGTGCGTCGTCATCAAAACGCTGCATAGCCAGCCACTTCTTCATTGCTGGGAATAGGTGGAAGTCGCTCGGTGCCAGGTCGGGACTGTACGGCGGATGAGGAAACAACTCCCACTTAAAAGATTCAAGAACTTTACGAGTGACATTTGCCGTGTGGGGCCGGGCGTTGTCGTGAATCAACAAGATCTTAGAGCTCAACATTCCTCTGCGCTTGTTTTGAATTGCTCTTCTGAGTTTTTGGAGAGTTGGCAATACCTTTGAGAGTTTATTGTAGTGCCTCTTTCCAGGAAGTCCACCAAAATTATACCTTTTCTGTCCCAAAAACAGTCGCCATCATCTTCCTTGCCGACATTGTTTGCATGCATTTCTTGGGTTTTTGGGGAGAACTTGTGTGCCCCCACTGCATTGATTGCAATTTCGTTTCACAGTTCACATGTTTCACCCATGTTTCGTCATCCAGTAACGATGCGATCGAGTAAAGAGTCACCATCCTTATGGTAAGCGTCCAAAAAGTTCAACGCTGCAGCCATTCGCTGATTTTTGTGGTCCTCTGTCAAGATTTTTGGAATCCATCTTGCACAAAACTTGTGGTAACCAAGCTTTTCGCTGATGATTTCGTGCAACAAACTTCGCGAAATTTGTGGAAAAACTCAAAGAAAGTTCCGTTATTGTGAAATTTCGATTTTCACGGACTTTAGCATCGACTTTTTCGAGAAGTTCGGCGGGTCACTATGCTGGGGTCTCCCACTTCGATCTTCGTCGTGAACATTGGTTCGGCCATTTTGAAATCTTATGACCCACTGACGCACTCCACCTTCAGTGATAATGTTGTCCCCATACACTTCACGAAGCTGCCGATAGATTTCTATCGGTTTACAGTTTTTTGCAGTCAGAAACCTTATTACTGAGCGCACCTCGCAGCTCGCGGGATTTTCAATTAACGCAGACATTTCAAACCGTCACAGTATCTGAACGGAGCACAGCACGAACCTCTCACTAGCACGGCTAGATGCAGACTGAGCTGCGCAACGCTCTGACCCCAAGATGGCCGCGCTAGCCCCGCCCCTAGCGGACACAGACGGAAACGTAATCTACTTCCTGGATGGCCCTCGTATATTAAAACGAAAACGGGAGGGGCATAAGTACATATTAGAACAATCCCGTGTATCAAATTTCAACATTCTACGGTTACTTGTTGAGTTATGCGTGATACGTACTTACTAACGCACAGACATCATAAAAGAAAATAACTTGTGAATTCATTTTACGGTACGTTTTGGAAAAAAGAATCCTTTATTTAGTCAGTGAGTACAGATGTCATCCAAAAAAATCGTTCTAATATATTCGAAAGCGATAAAAATGAGTATTTTAGTTCAAATATAATACCCGAAATTTTTCGCAATGGCAATATTTCTTTTACTTCATACAAGGAAGTAAACATGTAACGAAAAATGTTGAATAAGCATCAGGAATGTATGAATTCATTTACAGAATAATTTATTATTTAATAATTATTACATTTCTGCCTTGTTTGCTTTTTCGGAATTATTTAAATTATCGACGTAAAGGAGTTATAAGTGTTTCTTGAGTTTTTCTGAAATTTTTAGGTCTAATCTTAATCTCAGTTGTGTCCATTGACTCTTTGTAGCCTTTCCACGTCTGCCAAACAACACCGTCTGCATAACTGTCATGTTTTCCCCTCAGATACAGGCCATTAAGGTTCGAGTCGTGGCAAGCGTTATACCACCACGCACCTTTAAACTCCTGAGCGCAGCTCTGATCCTTGTTATTGTCGTTTTTCTGGTCTTTTGTAGAAAATTTCTGGTTGTTGTGTTGCACAGTTATTGAGTCCCCTGAAAAATAAAAAATGCAGTAATGTCGTTTTAAATGAAGCTGATATCATATTTAATGTACAGGGTGATTCAAAATGGTTATAGCGATTATTTTATCGATAAGAATTACACAGAATGAAGAAGGAAGTTCAAAATTTTGTTTACATATTTTATAAATGTTGTGGCTCTCTTTGGTAACACGGACAATGTCTAAGAGGTAGTCCATTTCACGCCATACGTTCTGAAGCGTATGTGGAGTCACCAAGGCAAAAACGTTAGAAATGCCCATTTTAAGTTCCGGAATTGTTTTCGTCAAAGGAAGCATATACACAAAGTCTTATTATGGGGTTATGTGAAAGACTTTGGTTAGTAGATTTGTGTATGTGATTCCTTTGCCGAAAATAATTCCAGATAATTCATCAACTGCCCTGGTACCAAAACATTTCGAGCACGCAGTTCTGTTATTTGAAAATAATAAATGGTGTATAAGTAGTGGGCCGAGCAAGCATGGATATTAAATGAATTTTATTACTTTCTATAACTACAGCATTTTTAGGATAGAGTTATTTCTAAACTGAAAAAAATCTAAATTCCCTAAAATAGAAGTTCATATTTCGTATAGATAGTCTTAGTACAAACAGTGTCTGCGTTGAGTGGAACAAAATTGTTCTATCTGTCTTTCAGACTAGTCGAATATATTTCTTTGTATGCTTTTTTGTTAATAATCAAATAAGATTCGCAAAAAAATACCTGAATTTGCATCACTGGTACATTTAACTGAATGAAAATCATTTAGCTCGTGAATTACTGAAGTCGGTATATTTCTCAAAAAATTTAACATGTGGTCTCAATTGTTTTTGGTCCAAAATGAAAAGAAATTTGAAAAAAAAAAAAAAAAAAAAAAAAAAAAATTAATTAGAAAAAGGTTGTAAACAGAAATTCCAAACATTTTGTTGAGCGCCATTTTCAAACCGTTCTGATATAAACAAAAACGCCGGTTAGCTCTAAAATTTACTTTCTATCAGAGCACAGGCACAGTTACAAAGAAAATATAGTACATGAAAACAGAACATAACCCAAAACGGAACAACTAACGTTTAGAATTAACGTTCGAGTCACGAAGACATAATATTGCAGATCCTATCTCATCGCAGGTGGAGGTCGACTGCTGTAAGTTGATTTAGCTGCCACAAGATCATGTTCAGTTTCATCCAGATAAGTTTGTTACAAAGTTTTAATATTTTTTTAATCGATTATTAATTGTACAACCAATTTATGCTTTATTCAGCACTTCAAAAGCAATTTCAATGCTGTATTTCAAAGCATACACACACACAATAAATAAATAAATATGCACTTCGTAATAGAAAATTGACTATTATTTGCAGAGGAACTCATTAAATGGCATATAGTTCATTTATGTGGTAAAATGCTAAAAGAGAAAAAGTACAGTTAATTATTTGGATGAAACAGAAGCATGTTAAAGGCATGTTACCTTCTTTAACTATGAATGATCGAATTGAAATGCAAGTCAGTTCTGCAAGTCGAAATGACTATCGTCTCACTAAATTAGTTTTAAAATGTGTATTAAGCAGTGTAAGTATTTTTAATAGAAATATAACAATTTGAGAAATTGAATAACCATTTAAAGAACTCACTGCTCATAGCGAACCACCTCTGAAAATGGCTAAAGCTTCTGAGAATATAAATAAACGTTGGTAATGATAATATAATGTAAATCTATAATAAGATGATCAATCCCTAATTTTAAAGAGACTATCATATACATATATATGTTACCGTGAAAGACCGAAATTGCAGAATGTCGACTTTCACCGGAGAATATCAACATTCACCAAATACCTTGGTGAAAGACCGAATATTTCACTACATTCTTGTATATTCGAAAACTCACCGGTGTATGTCAACAATCACAGATATGCTCTGGTGAAAGTCGAAAAGAGAGGTCATAAAGTGCCATAATAGTTTAAGTTGTTGCAATAAATAAGATTTGAATCACATAATTTGGTAAGGTTTTTTTTTACTGTTATTTTATTTTTCTTATTTAGAACGTAATGTATAATTAAGTTTCTAACTTCTATTATTTTTCTTTCTCATTTTGAATGTATTGTGTGTTTTAGGTTCTCATGTTCTTAAGTTTTTATTTCAAGTTTCAAGTGCGTTTATTCGCGACTGAATTACGGAGAAGAAAATATAATATTGTTATATGTTCAACATTCACCATTAGTATATGGTGAATGTCGACATTGACCGGTGTAAGTCAGAAATAAGAGTATTTGGAAAATATTTCGGACATACACCAAGAGACTATGTGAATGTCGACATTCTCCAGATTTCGGTGTTTCACCGTAACATATATATTAAGACAAAAGGTATTGTATTTATTACAGTTAAATCATTAATCATGTTTTTAAGCTGTTTGTGCTAAATTTTTCCTTTCCGTTTTGCGCAGCTGATGAAGTACAAATAATGAATGTTCAAGTTAATTCATTGGTGGTTCTAAGTTAATTCATTACTGATTACAAGTTAAGTGGCTCTAATTTAATTCATTTCTGTCTTCGCCGCTGTCGCAATCGGGAACGTTTTGTTCGAAGCTGACAGCTCAAAAAATGTATGTATGTGTTTTTTATTACCTAAAAAATATCTCAAATCTTACATTTAGTTATCTGTAAAACAAAACTTAAAAGCATAAAATCAGAAATAGTTAAATTTAGATTTAAAGTTATTGAGTCACGCTTTAGCATACGTTATGCTTCTTTGGCGTACTTCGGCTGACGTCTGTTAAGCCGAGCTCCGTTGCCAAGGCAACCAGTTTGTGCTACGTCACAAAATCTGGTTTAGGGCTCGTGGCATAGGGTTAAAAGTTTTCAACTTTACGCTGAGTTTGGGATAAGCGTCGACTAATCACAGCGAAGCTAAAACGAAGCGGCGTTCTGCAGAAGATTTCGCTGTTACAAAAGAAGCAGAGCGAACGCGGGAAATCAATCGAGCAGGAGAACAGCGCGGGAACGTTGTAGACACATCCACGCATGCGCAAATTTAGCTTTTCTCATTGGCCACGGCTTACACTCCGTTCTCGCAAGTGTGAACGGAATTCCTGTATTTTATGCCCTTATGACTACGCCTTTATGCCCTTTACGCCGTCGTCTGAACGCAGCCTTACTCACTACTGGCAATGTATCATGAGATTAGCGACTAAAGACACTATGGGAGAGGAGAAGGAAATTAACAAATTTTTCAAAATAAATATCTTCATCTTATTACCGAACCTTTAGGTTTCTCAGAAACAACAATCTGCATGAAGACCTGAAGACTGATAAAGCTAACGAAAAGACTCAGCAAGCTAAACGAAAATTTCTACCTTAATGACGAAACAAATTACGTTGCAAATTTTAATGAAATCTTAAACTATGAACCCTACGCAGCACATCTGTTCAACATGTTAGATCTATACACGTAAATGTTTGTTTACATCGTCATATCTCCTGCACAAGTTTTAAATGGAGGAACATTTTCTTCTTCATGTTAAGTGTCTTCTTCATTTTGAGTGATGAGATAGCACTCGGTACTACGCTCTTATCAATGGTTTGAACTCATCTGACAGCATATTTATATTTTTCATCCTTACCCTTATAAAAGGTTACTTTTGCATCATCCAGGTTTTGTTCTGCATCATTCATCAATAATTATATTTTTATCTGCATCTGTGTCTCTACAATTAATTTTTAGAGATTCGAAATGTGTAAAGTTCTGACTCAAAACACGAACTCGAGTCCTCGTATTGGTTCAGATCTCTGAGCTTTGCTCTCTCGTCCTATGGATACACAAAGAAACTACATGTATGCAAGTGTACAGTACCGGTATATCAGTTAGTAGTATAGTTCAAATGGCGTTCGCATGCATTCTTGTAAACTTGTTTCGTTTAGCTTGCTGAGATCTCTGAGCTTTGCTCTCTCGTCCTATGGATACACAAAGAAACTACATGTATGCAAGTGTACAGTACCGGTATATCAGTTAGTAGTATAGTTCAAATGGCGTTCGCATGCATTCTTGTAAACTTGTTAAATATAAAAGCTATTACGCTGTGAAGATGACTTCTGATTATTTTACAAAGCAAATTACTTCTGTTCCTTTATAACGCACGTGCATCACGTCCGAGTCATGTCTATGCTGAGGCACACCACTCTAATATATGATCATGTGCGTAATTGTATTTAGAAGTAAGTACCTTAGTTTATTTTCTCATTTTGCAACACTGTTTAATTTGTTTCGTACTGTGAAGTGGATAGAGTAATTTCCAGTAATGTCGATTCTAATTGAAACAGAATATCAAAAAAAAAAAAAAAAAAAATGAAATACATTTATATAAAGAGGAACTTTTATGGTAACAGTAAATATGGTATAAGATATCAAAAAAATGAATGTGAAATAACGCTAAAATAATTGATTTTTTTCCACGTTATACAAACTTACAGCATTAATTTAAAGCAATTCAAAAACATAAACACCAGTGAAAAAAGTCAACAAAGTCTGTTTCTACAAATTCTTTTTAAGTCCCCAGTAAATAAATTCCTGTAATTGAATAACAAATCAATAATTCTTCATCCAAACAGGGCCAAATATTTTTTCCTTTGACCTACGAATGTTTGAAGCTTTATTTTTTTGCACATAGAAAGAAATTTCTGTTAAATTTCTCTTCGTTGACACAGAGGGCACATTCCTGACTATGCATAGCTAAGTCTGTATTCATCTTCAAAAGACAAAAGTTACTACGCTAAAAAAAGATGTACTGCGCATGGGTGAAGCATAAGCTTCGCTAAGGCGGAGATACTGCAGTATTGGCAAAAATGTACGGTAGATGGTTGTAGGTAGGTGTCATTAGATATATTTTTTAATAAGCAGTAACTCTTTTTTGGAGGCGAGAAAGAAAATTTATAATATAAGGTTTCTGCAATTTTTTTCAATTCCTGCATACGATCGCTTTCGGTACTTTAAATTATTATTATTTGCTTACAGTAAAGGCTCCAGCTGCCCTGTACGGCATAGTTTATATAATGGCCCATTATAATTTGTATAATGGGTTTAATGATAAAAATCCACAATTTTGGGATATTTCTACCGGAGACTGATATCGACTGGAATAGCAGGTTAATAGACTTGGAGAAGTTTCACTACATTTTATTTAAGCACATTCAAGTTGAAAAATGAAAAAAGGTCTCAAACCTGCGTCTCCACTGTAATCTGCGATATGAAGGGTGTACTTGTGGTCTTCATCATCAATCCAGAAAGTATCATACAGAGCATAGCGTTTGCTTCCCTCTACATCCGTTAAGTCAAATCGAATAGAATACAATCCTTGGTTAGTCAAAGCAAAAATGTTGTCGTTACCTAAAAATATATCATTAGAAATTAGATTTAATTTATTTCAGAAGGCGTTAGTATTTCTTTTCTCCACTATACATAAAAATAATCTCTCTTTCTTTTGATATTCTAAGCTTTAGTTTAATTAGCTATTTTTATTATTTTAGTGTCGTTTCTCTAGTTTTATCAATCCTTTCCAAAAAGTACACATTAATTGCTTATTTAACCCTTTGAGGGGCGGTATATAAAACAATTTTAACTGTGGTAAAATTTTGCATGAACTATAACTTATGGACCCTAAGGACACAAAAATTGAGACTTAAAAAAATCTAGAGCGAAATCCCGAATTTTGAGAGCCGGTATATATTTTATACCGGCGCCCCTCTAGGACATTTTTTTCCAGGTAGCTGCCAACTGTTAATCTTTGTTTTTAAAATTAATTTTGGGTACTTTTGATGTGCGTCTGTAGTGGTGAGTGCTTGAATACAGTTATGTAAGTCTAAAGACAATTTTTTTAAAAAAATTTTGGCAGAAATTTAGAATTTCAAAAATAAAATTTACGTTTTTTATGCACTTTGATGACGCAACCCAGCTGAACATACTTATGTAAAATATGGGTAAAATGCTTTTCAACTTGATTTAAATTCAATATTATTTTATAAAAAAATTTAGCAAATATAACACTGCAGTGTAAATCGTATCATGCTGTAACTGAACTAGTATAATATTACAAGCAGATGTAACTCAGCCGAAAATTAAAAAAATTGAAAAATGAAGCACTACGGCCGACTCAGCTGAGAAAGTATGTTGCATTTTTGAAGTTGTATTTTATACTTTAGATAATATGTGAAAAAACAACCATGCTTCATACTATGATACGAAGAATCGCCCCCCCCCCCCCCCTCGACGCACACACACTTAAGATCATCAAGGACCGTAAGGGTCCCTTTTTTATTTTTTGTAAATATAGGTTGTAATGTATCTTTTTGTTCAGGAAGAAACGCCGTTAAACAATTTTATTATTTGATACACCTCAAAGGTCTTATTCTGATTTTCAACCCCTTTGGCTTCATAGGGACTCCTTTTCAACTTTTGGATAAATTTTAGTTTGCATCTAAAAACGGGCCTTAGAAATATTTTTCCTTCTTTCACCAACTGTCAAAATTTATTTCAGAAACAACCTATTTGTATCAACCAGAGCGCAGATTTCTCTCGTGTGTTCTCTAGTCTTTCATCTGAAATTAACAAAGAATTTCCCTAGAGAATAAAAGCATGCTTTCAAACCAGCAGTTTTTGTGATTACGCTATGAGATAGACCTTAAGTACATTTCCATTTTAAGTGAGCTTTCCCTTTGTGAGGTGTGATAAGATCACACAAAGGAAAAAGGCGCGACTCCCGAATGACAAATTAGTTGTCAATCACCTCTTTCATTTTCCTTGCATTCTAGAATTTTGGAAATCTCGAAGCAACGGGTGTCTTTTGGGGGCTAACATGCCACATTTAACCCCTACAATTGTGTAAAGTTTTGACCCCAGATGGCAATTTTGAAATCGATGAGTCTTTCTCTTGGGAAAGAGGTAAGTGCTGAAATAAAAATTTTAGCTAAACACAGACGAATGAAACTCGAGCTGAGTACACAAAGAATAAATAAAACTAATATACTTGTATTCAGTCCTAGCGCAGGGTCAATAAACTCCCCATTCCTCCATGAACATAATATTGAATCCTAAACAACTTATAAATTAATCATGAAAAATTATTATATCATAAACTGTTATAATAATAAAGAAATTCTGTCATGTCACAGAGTATAAAAGGAGAAGACTGGTGCTGCCATCTATTGGCGTGGTACCCTCAGTGTGGGCGCCGGCATATATTATATACCGGTATATATTATATACCGGTTTTAAAATCGTATAAATAATCTTCTGTTAATTATCATTTCTGACAAAAAATGAAGTAAATATATAAGATTCAGCATGTGTACGTCATATATTTGCAGATTTTGAATTTTTTCTATCCCTCCAATAGAATTTATCAATCTTCCAACATGATACCTTGCAAAGAGGTATATTAATTTCATAACTGCAAAATATTGAGCATTCATAAGGTGATGCTACCATTTAGAATTGAAAGGAAACACTATACACTTAAGATTATAGCTTTTGGTGTAGAAAAATTAGCATTTTTTCGGAGGTTAAAAAATTAACAAACAACCGGTATATAATTTGTTAACATACCGGTGCCCTTCAAAGAGTTAAGTAAAAGAAGAAAAAGTGAAAGAAGCGATTTATGGACACGGCCACTATGTGGTTGATTATAATTATTCTTGGCCATCCTAGATGGTAGAGTGATTAGCGGATGTGGATTGCTAAGTACGAAACTAAGGACATGCATTCGATTCCCGTATAAGGTTTGGCTACGTATAAATAATTTCCCACCTATTTTTCGATAATATAACATTAGGCAGTTACTATAGTACACCCTGGACATTGATCTCATTGATGAGATGGCTAAATGACGGAGGGATTCGTCTATATCCAACAAATGCATAAGAAGCAAGTATCTAGCCATGAAATAAAAAAGAAAATCTGAAAGGTTTCAGATTTTAAATTATATCCAAAAGGGTGGTTTTTTTTTTACATTTTTGTGTTACCTTTATTTATTAAATATCATGTTCTTCGTACTTAAACCGTAAAATTCACTTCAAGAACAATATCGCAAAATAATTTTAAATTGAGCGTATCTTTAGAATTTCCGATACACAGTCACACGCACTGGAGATAAAAATGTTTTTTCACTGCTCGTTTTGAAATCCTTCAGTTTGTTAATCAAAAATTCCTTTAAGGTTATACAAAATATAAAATTGATTATAAAACAAATTCCAAATTTCAAATTTAGGCTTCCAGATGCCCATATTCCCAGTAGGATTACGTCATTCAAAATTGGATGGCTCTAGGTACCGTTGTTTTATCAAAGCGAGAAACATACATACATACATTTATGCAGATTCTTCATTATTTAATTTCTTCAAATATAATACAGGTCGATAATATTTGGGGGCAACAATTTGAGAAGTGAACTGACATTCAGAATGATTCGACGCAAAATCGCAAAACGAAAAAAAAAAAAAAATGTCCTTGAGGGAGAAAGTCCCTTTGGACTAAATAACCGAAAGTTTTCAGATTTTATATTACGCCCAGAGGGGCGTTTAATCATTTACATACACATACACGTTTCGAGATAATTTGGGTTAATGCTCTTTTGGAATAAAATTATTTAAAAATAGCTTGGCTTTAGAATTTCGGAAAGACAGTCTCACGCGCTGGAGATAAAAATATTTTATTCCGTACAGTGTTGCCAATGCTCGCTCTGAAACCGTTGAGTTTGTTAATCAAAAACTCGGTGAAGTTTTACAGAACGTGAAATAGATACTAAAATAAATTCGAAATTCAAAATTTGCACTCCCACGTATTCATATTCGGATGAAGGACTACGTTATTCAAAATTTGAGGGTTTAAGGTACCTTTGTTTTTTCACGACGCAAGAAACATGCATACATTCACGCTAATTCTTCATGATTTAATGTCTTCAAATATAATGCAGAGCAATGATATTTGGTGTCAACAATTTGAAAAAGGTATAAGGTATTTCTTTCACTTTCCTAGCGTGCTTTCGTGGTGTAGTGGTTCTGCACGCTGGGCTGGTATTCCAGAGGTTTGTGGTTCGATTCCCGGCGAAGACGATTGCTCATTTTTCATCTTGCCTATTTCCAAAAACTACCTAATGTCTCTACAGTGGCGCCCGAACTAAAAGGGTGCTGGATGAGGATTCTCCACAGCCAGGATTTGGTGATTGGGTCTCCTAAAAACCCCAGCCGCCCTTTAAAAAGGGGAGTATATAAGGTATTTCTCATACTTTTCCTAGCGTGCCTTCGTGGTTTAGTGGTTCTGCACGCTGGTCCGGTATTCCAGAGGTCCGTGGTTCGATTCCCGGCGAAGGTGATTGCTCATTTTTCATCTTGCCTGCTTCCAAAAAATACCTAATGTCTCTACAAATGATACTCCGTTTATTGTGATTCAACGCAAAATGTCGTCTGGAGACCGATATCCCATTCGGGACTAATGTCCTTTCTGGTCTAAAAATTGTTGTCTACAAATAGGAAAGATATCAAATTGTCATTTAAATTGACAGAAATGTTTCTTGTTGTACTGTAAAACTTAAGTGTTTCATGTAATCTCTACATATAATAAAAGAAAGAGTCTGTGTGTCTTTCGTTCGTGCTTCGCGTAAACTAATAGACCCAGGGCTAAGAAATTTGGTACATAGGTGCATCTAGACAGTGCACCTCGAAGCGATTTTTTCAAAATTCGAATCAGATTTTTTTTAATTTTACCTTTTCGATTTTATCGCATCACTTTGAATAGTTTCATTCTTTTAGAAATATGGTATTGGCAACAGTTTTTCATTAAATTGTATACTGGACGGCTGGATGTTGAAAATACGCACTGTTGCCACTTGGAAAAATGAGGGCGATCATTCTGTGCCAGTTTTTAAATTTAATGTTTCTCTTGGATACTGGACGTTTGTTGAGAGAAGGCAACGGGAAGGTTGTTAATTTATTTATTAGGATAATTAATATTTGTATTAAGGGATATTGCTTATTTCATTGTAATTTTGTTATATATATAATACTATTTTAAATTTGTGGGTTTTTTTTTTTTTTTTTTTTTTTTTTTTTTTTTTATGAAATTGCTCTGCAGAGTAAAATTCTGTGCAGTTTTTAAATTTAACGTTTGGTGTTCCTTTCAGGCATTTTTCCCGTACATTTAAAAGCCAAACGAAAGCCTGGCTGCGTAGTTGCTAGTGTAAAATATTTCCTGTTATTTCCTTTTACACCTACTTAACGTAGAAATTGAGGCTCAACATTATCTTGCACTGTTATATGAGAATTAATCTAATTACATTCTTCGTACTTTGCTAGTTTATGCTTTAATTCTGCACATCACTTTATCATTGTTCAATAAGCAATTTATGCTAAAAAGTTCTTTTATGTTAATGAAAATAAAAGCTTTAAAAAGAAGATCTCAGATCGTCCGAAACTTACCTAACCAAAAATCTCTTTCAATATCACCAAATCCATTTTTATAACTTTGCCAGTCCTTATAAAAGTAGTCGTTGGGTCTCAAAAAATTCCCTCTTCTTTGTATGACCTAAAAAAAAATTTATTGAAATATGTATGAGTATGTGGTTTTGATTCTAGATATCTAACTGTTTGAAAATTAAGAATTGTAGTTATTTTCGCTAACGAAAATCACTTGAGGAATGTAGTCGCTTAGTCGATATGATGATGATGACAGGGAAACCGCCTGTTTTAACCTTGACCTCTGATATTTTTATATTAAGACGTAAAGTAAAAATTAACTTTTTTAATTCATTTTATGGATAAAATAATTATTCTTAATTACAAACGTATTTTAGAGAGAGATAGCCATAATTCAAGGGAAAGGTCCTAATATTACAGGCGAACACATTGCGGCAAAAACATCGCGGAGAAAACAACGCAAGGCGATAACGTCATCGTAGAAAACATTGTAAAAGAAAACAAAGTAAAGAGAAAACATCGCATTTCTAAAACATTGTCATAGAAAACAAAGCTATCCAGAAACTTCGCACATCATCGTATGACGATAATATCGCATGCATTGCCTTTTAGGCTTTGAAATTTGCAAATGCATATTTGCGTAATGATTTGTGAGTGGAAAAAGAAATGAGAATTATTTTTTATATATTTTCGAATTAATTCTTCATAATTTTCTTATTAAAGTTTAATGATAAACTGACAAATAAAGTAAGTGCTAAAGATAAATCAGAATAGTTTCTTATTTAACGCTGTATTTAAGCACATGTTTATGTAGTATTATGTAGAATACTGTGGGTAAAAAAAGTATTTGCACACCTACATTTATGTTTTCAATTCATAAAAAGAAGCATTAAGAAATAAAAAATGGGTATTGCGAAATCAGAATAAGTTTAATCAACCAAACAAACAGAAAAATTACAATAATATAAATAACAATGCTTTTTTTGTAACAAAATTAAAATATCTCGTATCAAAAAAGTATTTGCACACCTGCATGAATACAAAAGAAATAAAATATATAAGCAAATTTCAAATAACTAATATTTAGTATGCATTCCTTTAGCATCTATTACTGCTTGTAATCTTGCTGGCATTGATTTAATTAAATTTTTGTAACAGTGGGGTCAGTATTCGACCACTCTTCAATAAGGGCTTGTTTAAGGTCAGATTTGCTTGAAATCTTCCTTTTTCCTATTTTTAAATCCAAAGAATTCCACAATTTGTCCAAAGGATTTAAATCTGGTGATTGTGGTGGAGTGGCAAGTTTTCTGGGTACATTATAAAGCAACCACATACGTGTTATACCGGCAGTGTGCTTGAGATCATTGTCTTGCTGAAAATAGTACGAATTACTGATACCCAATTTTATTGCACTTTGGGGCAAGTTATGGCGCAACACATCAATATAGGTTCGAGCTGTTATATTCCCATCAATGAAACACAAATTACCAACTCTTTTGCTAGCCATGCACCCCCAAATCATAACAGAACCTCCTCCATGTTTAACTGTAGGTAACACATTTTTGGTATGATAAGCAGTACAAGGTATTCTCCAAACTAATTTCCTGCCATTTGATTTAAAGATACTGAACTTACTCTCGTCGGAGAATATGACATTTTTTCAGAAATCAATTGGCTTATTGATATATTCCTTAGCGAATTCAAGTCTGTTCAGTCTATTTCGTTCACTTATGAGAGGTTATTTCCTTGGAGATCTCCCATAAATGTGTGCATCATGCAGGACATTTCGAACACTTTGGGCACAGATTTGAACTCCAGATGTTGAAGCGACATAATTCGCTAAAGTAATTGCACTAAAAAATGGATTTTTTGATGCTTCTCTTATGATTTTTCGCTTCATTCGCAGTGAAAGTTTCTTTGGGCGTCCAGAGCGCAAGTTATTTGATGTAGATCCTCTTTCTTTATGACGTTTTATAACATACCGAACAGTAGAGAAGCAAACATTTACATTTTTTACCTATTTCTCGATAACTTTAGGCCATTTTTCACGTTAGAGAAAAATTTTTTTTTCTCGCAACGAAATCGGCAATTCAAGATTTCTTAGGTGCCATTACAATTTGAAATCGACAATCAACTGATAACGTTTCGACAACACCTGTATTTGGTATAGTCGTCTTACGTATGTTATATTACTGTGGGATGACTGTCAAATAATAGCATAAAAATGCAAATTTGCTAAAGATTGAGTCGAGTGTGCAAATACTTTTTTGACATAAGCTATTTTAATATTGTTGCAAAAAAATTTCTTTTATTAATATATTGTATTTTTTGTAATTAATTTAAATGAATAAGCTTATTCTATTTTTTAAATGCCAATTTTTGTATTTCTTAATGCATTTTCTTATAAATTGTAAACAAAAATGTATGTGTGCAAATACTTTTTTTACCCACTGTATATACACTGGACAAAAAAGAAAAATGGGACAAATTTATATCTCCTGTCCTACTGGGCCGATTGATGAAATTCAACTTGCGTTTTTCATGTCTCGAAAGCGCGACTTAGGATATATATTAGATTTATATATAGCATTGTTCTAACATATGTATTTTGACACGAAATCGGACTTTTCTGAAATGACATACTATATTTTTCTATGTAGTTCGTTTCTACAACTAAAATTATGCCAGATTGCCAAGTTTTGTAAAAATCGCACGTGTATGTAGTTTTTGAAAAATTACCTCCTCATTTTTAACTGAATTTGATATATATTTATTAGTATCTCTTTTTTTATTAAACTTACTTGATCCCTTCTTCCAGAATTCGAAATTTAGGTTCATTCCAAATAAAATTCGCCCATGTTTCAGAATTTATTTTCAAAATTTGTATTTTTAAATAATTTCTATAAGTGATTTCTATCAAGTGAATTTCGCCAAACTGAAAAAAATTCGCCAAGATAAATTGTTAAATTTCTCGCCAAAAATTTCAAAATTTAATATCTAGGCATAATTTGAGTCGTAGAATCGAAATATGGAAAAAATTGATATTTTATTTCAGAAAAGGTCCGATTTTGTGTCAAAATACCTATATTAGAATAATGTTATATATAAGTCACGCTTTTGAGACATGAAAAACGCAAGTTGAATTTCGCCAATCGGACCAGTAGAACGAGAGATACAAAACTATCCCATATTTATTTATTTATTTATTTCAAAAATAGAATTTAGCTTACTTGGAATATGTTATGGCATCTTGAATATGTGTGGAATGGATTGTATTGTACATATCAAAATGAAATTATGTTACGAAATTGAGAGAAATTTAAATTTTGTATGAAGATGTGGAAATAGCAAACAAACTTCCAGAAGAAAGAAGAATCAACATTAGTAAACAATAAATAAAAAATTTGAAAAAAAATGGAGTATTATAGTCCCAAGCAAATATAACAAATATAATTATAAATATGTTACCAAATAGCTTCAGTAAGGATAAAGCTGAGAAACAACGGAACAATTTACGACTTCATTTGTTTTGCGAATTTTTTGCTGTAACTTTATAATATATTTGTGTGAGTTATGCTCCAACCTCTTTCGTGTCGTTTTTACTTCTTTGTGCGAAGTAAAGAAAGTATCGTATTTTGACATCAGTATCGTATTGTATTTGAACGATGTTTATGTATATCTTTTATACTGTACGTACGTACAGAATAAAAGACTATTTTTTAAAAAACCGATTGTAAAATAGACTTAAAATGGAATTAGAAGAGATATTTTTCCGTGACGTTTATACGTACGTATGTATTTCTCATAACTCAAAAGCGATTAGCCGTAGAAATTTGAAATTTTGTATATGGCACTGTTATAACATCTAGTTGTGCACCACCCTTTTGTTGCAGTCGGCAGCACCAAATATATATATTTCTTATATGTTAGTAAATTGCTCATTTTCTGCTTTAAAGTGACTGAATTATGTTGTTCTTATGTCCTGGTTAAGGTTTTTATGTCTTTCGTTATTCTGCATGCAATAGTTGCAGAATTATCAATAGTATAAAAATGGTGAATAGGCCTAACGCTGAAGCTGTTTGTTTATATTTGAAACTCGTAGTAGCAGGATGAGTTAAATCAGTTGGTGCACCACTTTCAGTGACTTTTTGGCCGGTGGGATTAGAAGTTAACTTTAAATGTTTGAGAACCGAATTTTTTTTTTCTCGACTTGCTTGTTTTCCCGTGGGAACACTAGTTTGAATTGCCAAGTTTTTTTTTCTTTAACAATTTTTAACTGTATTTGGTGTTTTAGGTTTTTATGTATTTTGCTATTTTTAATTTTATGTAGCTTTGCCATGCCGCGAGATAAGAAGCGAATTGTTTGAATTAGAAATTTATCTCTAATGAAATTCTAGGAGATAAGTTTAAATGAAGTGCAGAAAAAATTGTGTATAATTTAATAGGCCGTACAAACAAATCATGTGGCGTCCACATTAAGATTATTTACTAAAGATGATGCCGTCCACAGATGAAACTTTTTTTCCTTTCTGTAATGCTTTTGTGCCCTTCAAATATTCTATACCAATGTTATTTGTTTCAAACTTTGTTTCTAAGGCTGCAAAATTCCCGGCCGGCTGTAAGCATAGGCAATATAGGCAGTCGCCTTGGGTACCGATTTTCAGAGGAAGCCATGTTAATTTTTCTCAGAAGCAACAGTTAAAAAAAGGTATATTTCATATTGAGTTGCTATTATGTTTAATTTACACCGGGTGCAAAATATACTGAGCTAGAGCTCCGAAAATATAGGATTTGGGTATAACTAAAATGTACATTCTTTAAAGTTTTTTGAACGCCTGTTCCTTTTATTTTGTTGATCTTATGTATAATATTTATTTGCAGTGTAATACAGAGCAGTCGTTTGACGGATAAAGTAGTTTGGAGTTTTATTATCTGTTTTGAAACATGGGAATCAAACTGAAAGATTAAACTTACGACCCATCCTCCACCATCAGTTGTCATATCGCAGTAAACTTCAAGCGATTTATCTTCAATCACTCTACTTCTAAGACAGATAGTGTACACACCGCTTCTCTTAAAACCAGCTCGGAAAAGCTCTGCGCAGTCCACATATCTTGAAGAATTGCCACCTATTTCCTGACCTAACGTAGTAAACATGCAACAACATCATAATACTATTCAAAAAATAATGATTGAAAAAACTGAAAGGTTTCAGATTTTAAATTACATCCAAAATGGCGTTTTTTTAACATTTTGTGTGTTACCTTTATTTATCATGTTCTTCGCACTTAAACCATAAAATTCAATTCAACAGCAATATCGCAAAATAATTTTAAAATGAGCCTATCTTTAGAATTTCCGATACACACCCTCGCACGCTGGAGATAAAAATGTTTTTTTCTGCGCAGCGTTGCCATTGCTCGTTTTGAAATCCTTGACTCTGTTAATAAAAAAATCGTCAAAGTTTTGCAAAATATGTAATCGATAATAAAATTTTAAATTTAGGCTTCCAGATGTCCCTATTCGCAGTAGGATTACGTCATTCAAAATTGAATGGCTCTAGGTACCGTTGTTTTATCGCAATGTGAGAAACATACATACATTTATGCATATTCTTCATTATTTAATTTCTTTAAATATAATACATGGTGATAATATTTGACGGGAACAATTTGAAAAGTGAAAAACGCTTGTAGTGAATCAACGCAAAAGAAAATTAATGGTGCTTCTGTGCAAATTGTCCCCTTGGATTAAAAATGTTTAAAATTTTATATCAATATTAACGTTTTTCTTTGTAGGATGTGCATTTCTTTTTATATGACACATTCAAAGGTGTATATAATAAATGTTTTTTTTAATCTCCCGTAAAACTCTTTTTTTTCGTTTGATTCATACCATTACGTAGACGAGTTTATCTTCCAATAAAACCCATTAACCCTTTCTTGTAAAATATTTAGACAAGAACTGTGAATGGTAGTAACTTAAATAAAATCTACCATTCTTAAACACGTTATTAGTGAAAGCAAAAGATAAATAGTTGTACATAAGGAACGATTTGATTGAAAATACCTGAAAAGATTCAATCTTTTAACGAATGGAATTTTAATTATGATCTGTTAAAGATAAAGACTTCTCTAAACATCAGTTCCTTTTTCTTCAATAGTCGGGCCTTGCAAAGAAAGAACTTTTAAGTATTCCTTATTAACGGTGCAACATTTTACCTAAATTTATGCAAATTTTAATTTTGCCTTTTCTGTTTGAAACTGTTGGGATTTAAGAACGTTTGTGCATCTTAATCGAATTAAACAATATGTTGTTTTTATGCAAGTACGGTAGAACTCCAATTATCCGAATCAACTGGGACTGGATCCCATTCGGTTAATCAAAAATTCGGATAATTGGATTGCTACCAATTACTAAAGGGTCTACATACGCTTTAATTAATTATTGTGTGTACTGTTTGTTGAAATGGAAGGCAAAAACTATTAAAAAAAAAAGAGAGATAATCAAAATGGAAAGACAACACTTTTACGTACATGTTATATCGCGTACTGTACAGTACTTACAAGTGCTGAAAGTCATTGCTTGCTGGACATCTCGGTCAAAGTAAAGCTGTTTGACTGTCTTATCCGTTTTCGGGCAGCAATGGCTATCATCCGCTTGATAATGACAAGTTGCATATGGTCACACTCGGGCTGATGCTCCATCCACTTCAAAGCAGGCAAACGCTTCACTAGCTGATGGCCCCGTGTCTGCTTCAACTTCGACATTAAATCATCTTCTTCTTCGAAACTTTCAGTAAGTTCACCGTTATTTAGAATTTGAAACTCAGGGTCTGACGAATCACACACTATCCATTCTAAAATATCCTCAGTACTAACTTCTGAAATCCAGGAATTTTCAAAAGAATGTTTCTTAATTCCTCAAGTGATACGTCCTCCTCATCTTCTCCTCCCTCTTCCCTTCCCTTTTCCTTGAGCGTCGTTTTCCTTTTCCTACTTTTCCTTCTCTTCTTCAGTTGATTTTGAAAACTTCTGAAATTCTGAAAGCGATTCGGATGGTCGGAGTTCGAATAACTGGAGTTGCGCTGTACTCATTGGTTAAAACTAAATATAAGTGATGTCATATACAGGGCGTCCAGAGTTAAAAAACACTATTTCAAAGCTGCCTACAAGCAAAATAAGTATTCAAAAATTGTTAAATTTTGTGGTGGACTTTATGAAGAGTTGGGAACGTATTTCAGCGAAAAGAAATTAGTTACGAACAGCGTCACCAAAGGGCCTTTTGCTTTGAAAACCTGCAGTAAAAGCGTAAATCTTTGTCAATGCCACTCAGCAGCTGTTATAAACCTACAAACATTTGCGAAGATTTTGTTTTCAATATGGTTGCTGCTCACAGTGACGATAAGTTCACGAGATCGCGGTTTGTTATTAAAATTATTTTGTCAAAACAGCAATCCAGCGATAGTTGCTGTACGGAGATTTCAGACATTGAAGGGGATTCAAAAGATTCACTAAATGCTAAAAACCTTCGAAAAATGATAACAAAATTTGAAGAAACAGGATCGCCTTCTGTTCGTACTAGAAGAAAACCCTTTCTGCAGCAGCAGTGTGGAAGGTTGCACTTCAGGTTGGTAAAGGACATAGCTTCAAACTTTTTCAGGCTTGCGCCAGCATCCGGCATGTAGCAAAGGCACTGGATAGGTTACGTTCAACTGCTCATGAGATCTTGCAACATATCCTTCCATATTATCCTTAGAAACTTTCACTAGTGGCAGCGGTAGCTTCCAGATGATTTTGACGCTGAATTGCAGTTCTCAATTCAGTTTCTTGTTCGCTTTGAGATCGATTTAGAATGACCTTGGAGTACTCTCTGAACAGATGAAGGGCATTTTCCTTTGGACCAATGCAGTGAATACTCATAAGTGCCAAATTCCACTGCATTCACAAAAAGTAGCGGGAATGGTGTGGATTTTATGCATCGTTTATTCTCGGTCCGTACTTCTTCCAGGAGTTCAGTTTTACAGGCCCAGTGACATGCTCAGTCACCGAATGCTCAGTCGATGTTAGAGAACGGAACGGTTTTTCTTTGCAAACACATCAATGACCTGCACTCACAGTCTTCCTACAATATGGAGCTTCTCCACTCATTGCACTCATTGCACGTCATGAATGTTCTTAAACGTCATTTTACAGAAGAAGGTATCACCAACCGGTAATTTCCTTATGTGTGTCCTCAAACTACAATCCATACGATTTTTGGTTTTCGAGGCATTTGAAACATCTGGTAAGTGGTGACAATTCAAGACTTCACCTGATTTTAAAGCCGGCATTTCATGTCACGTGCTCAACATTTCCCAGCATGCACTTTGATCGACTGTGCTCCATGTCATTTGGGATTTCAGATGGTAGCTGAAAATGATGGCCATCATGTGAAACTTGTTTTATTGTAATAAAAATTATAAAATTACAAAACTATTGTAAAGGTGCGGCTAAATGTGTAATTTATTAATACATTGCCCTCTGGTGGCGATATATGTAAATAATTTTTTTCCGCTGAAATACATTCCCATCCGTTCATTAATTCCGCCAGAACACTTCACAATTTTCTGATGAGTGGTGTCACCGGTAAATTATATAGAAATAAGGTTCTTTTCTGGACACTCTGTACTTTTCATAAATTAAATACTAAACTTGTAAGGATCTTAAGTTTTACTAACGTTTATTTTATTTTAAATCTTTACTATCACTTCTTATCTTCTGCTTCCTGCCAGAATATAGCGTTAAGGTTTTTATGCAAAGTTGTTCTGCGAACGCCAAGTATTTAAGTTGTGGCTTTTTGCCAAAGAGCGAGAGAGGAACCGTAGTTCGAAGCAGGCGCTTACCCTTAGAAGTTTACGCAGTTGCTTGTTTGCCTTCCAGGCCGAGGTTTTATCCTCTTGAATTTAAAACGTATTGTATGTTCTCATACTGTACTACTACGCTTCCTGTTAATATAAGGCCAATCTTCCACGTATTATTCTAAAGTTAAATTAAGTTTAGTTTTATTTTTTATACTTTTACGTTTTGACCCCAAGTAGCGGTCGGTGTATTCCGAATTCGGAAGTCATTGTAAATAGAGAAAAATAAAGGGTTTTATACCCTTCTTGTGTATCCTTTTACTTCCCCCAGTTTTGAACATAGCTTTAGTAAGCTCTCTGTTCCGAGTCAGGTCCTTGCATGTTCCCGAAAAGGTTAAAGGAACTTGAACCTGATAGTGGCGCCCAACGAAGAAGAAAACCATGGCCGAGTTTCATAAGAACCTGTGCTCCTGCAGAAACGTCTCAGAATCCAAATGCCAGCTGGCCGCCCTGGAAGGATTTGGTTACAATCGTCCGACATGCGCGCTTCGATGAAACCAGAAACAACATTTAATGAAACACCGGTTAACCAGTTTTTTGAAAAATTGGATGACCACTTCATGCCTACCCCTGCACGAGTTCAAAAATTACCTTATCTACCAGCGCTTTGGGGGCCAAGCGCTTAACTGTTTCAAATATAGGCAGAAGCTCTTGGGTCAACGGATCCCACCTTACTTACGAAAATTCAAGACTGCCCTCTAAAGCCTTCCCTGTGTAAGGGATCGTGCGAAATTAGAAACGGAACTTTTTCAGTATATATCAACAAAGAATCGAAACCTCTCGAGCTTTTTTTTAAGAAAAATTCACGTTTTCAAACTCTTGTAGGAAACCGCCGGATCTTAAATATTCAAGTGATTTTGCCGATGTTCTACTGCCCCAAGTGCAAGACTTTATTGAATTAAGAATCCGACTACACTGGAAAAGTTATTTGAGCTAGCATCCAGTTTGAATAGAAGAACGGCGGACGTCGAAAGAAGACGCCAATATCACAGCGAAACCAATTTGGTACCCAAGACTACAAACTCAAACCACGCTACGTAGGCAAAGCGAATCAGTGGGCAAGGAACCCGCATTCAAAACAGCGGCGAACGTCGACGTTCAATAGCAACCCGGAAAAAAGTCTCAAGGCCAGTGGAAAAGAGGAAGCGCGGAAAGGAAAATAATTTTTAAACTAAAACGGATTTCTGCTGACGAAGGGTGCGGAATCCGAAAGGCCACGAAAACCCCTCTTCCTTCAAGTTA